AAGAGTAAAAAACATACATGTGCATATTTTAAAACTTAATTAATCCTTCCACTAAAATTTAATTTTCAAAAGCTTGAAATTATTTCCAAAAATTAAAACAAGCTTCACTGTAAGGCTACTTCGAAGACAATTCCATGATTTTTTTGTTGTTGTTGAGCATGTTTAAAATTTATAATTTAACATGGTATTTCATGTGTTTATGTATTTTAGATACCACACAGTCACAATTTTCATCCTGGAGTGTAGTGATTACTGTAAAAACCTAAAATCATAATCTCATTAAAAAAAATACAATGTAAGAACTTTTTAGTTTATTGGTCTTCTCAACAAGTGATTCTGGTTCAAAGCATTTTTCCATGACCTACGTATACCTTGACAATTACTAAATTCCTCAAGGTATTGACAGACACAGTTTTCAAAACTTCATTATTATTATTATTATTATGAGTACATTTAGATCATTTTCATGGTAACGGAAGAAAAATAAAATTATACCTCAACTTTAATTTTTACAATGCACCTTTAACGAGAAATAATATTTACTTATTTATTTTCTGTCTTCTCTGTAGATGAAACTTCAGAGCTTCATGTTATATAATAAGCAATTTATGTTCCTTTCCTGCTATACAAGATTTAATATTTGAAAAGCATCTAATTTTCATCAATTGTTTTAAAACTATCCATGTCTGGCAAAGTGTCGTCAGTGAATAAAAACATTTGAAAATAGTTTCAAAGTTATTAATTAATTATGCCAAAACACAACTACTGCATCTTTTGGACCAAAACCATCACACAAATACCTTGAATATTCTATTCTAAGAATTAAATTTAAATTGGTAAATCAAATTTTGAATGGCTTAGTCAGGAATTTGAATAAGTTATTTAAAATTTGGAAATTAAAAAAAAATGGAAATAGATAAAAACGTTGCTATTACTATTGGAGACATATCATCACAATAAAACCAGAAAATTGAAGCTCATGTTTTAAAAGAACATACAAATCAGCATGTAGAGTAATACATTTGTGTAGTATTACTAGTGCACTTGTATTAGTATGTTTTTATTTTTATTTTTAAAAAAATGATTCAAAAGATAAGTTATCAAAATTTTGATAATTTTGTAGCAACAAATGTAAATCAAAGTCATTAAATTCAAACTTTATTGATTCTAAATCTTGAAAATTATCTTATGTTATTTAAATCTCAATGGGTTTTTGTCCTTAGAAGCCTAATTTAAAAGGTTATGATGTAAAAGTCTTAATAAAGTCACTTGCTTGGTAAAAAATTGCTAATTTGAAAACCCCAACCTTTGATGATAGTTTAAAATAAATGGAGGTCATAATATGGGAATAATTATTTTCTATAATAAGGTTAATATATACCAACTTATATCTCAATTCTAACAATTATAACATATATATATATATATATATATATTTCTAGCAAAATGCTTCTACAAAAATTTCAAGATGAGTTTATGCCAAGTTCCAAGGGGCAACAGTATTTGTTTCTTCTAGAGAAAAGAACATCCTATCTCATCATTTCTACTAGTAACTGATTTGCTGTTTTCCTAAATATATAATATAAAATAAACCAAATAAGGACTTTTGATTTCTAGCAATCACAAGCTTTCTAGGTTGCGACCTCTCACCCTCTATTCTTAGTACCTAAAAGCAACAATTCAAAAGCCAATCTTTTCATATTCAACTACCCAAACATTTTACTCTATTCAATAGTGATATTCAAAACAAAATGAAAATAAATGTACAGAATCATGAGTTTTCGCTACTTTCGATGTACAAATCAATGATTGCGAAAACCCTACCGACAACGCAGCCCACACACTTGACAGGATTACCGACAATGGCAGAACTGACATGGAATCATTTTGTTTACCAACACGCGGACCCCAATCACGCGAACGCGTTCATGACCTTCAGAGTCCACGCGGGTTGCTAAAAAAAAACAAAACAAAACAAAACAACATGAAGTTGCAGAACTTGAGGCTGCTTTCCCACGAACACACATGGCAAGGACCGTCCGGTCGGTCTCACGAATTTAATGTCGTGAAGCCACAACTCTCCATCCATTCAAAATGCTGCATCTGCTCGCTCGGAACATGACTCTGGTTTGATGCTGGACGCAAGGGTCTTGTAGTCATGGTTTAGAACCACGCGCCTGTTTCGTATACTCGAATGTGTGCAGCGTACTGCAAGTACATCGGAGCCGTGTCCGTAATTCAGACACTGGCAAATCCGCGCTTCGATCTGTGGAGAAGGAAGAATTCTCGCCACCGTGAGCGAGAGGTTGGCACGACGTCTTTTTCGTCCACATCGGTGTGTAGAATCGAAGTGCGGCAAGCGTGCTGGGTGGGGATTTCGAGGTGGCACAATGGCATTCATTTTCTTTATATATATATATATATATATATAAATATTATTTCAATCATGATAATGCATAGTTTTATTATATAATACTAATATTACTGAATATCCAGGTTTAAAAGAAATAGCCTTACAGGATTTTATTTTATTTTTAATTTTTTTTCCAGTAGTAAATACTGTAATTTGAAAAATATATATATTCAGTTTATATTTTTAAAATATATATAAATTTAAACAAATAAATAACGATAGGATGAGGTCAGGACTAAAATGGCAATTTGCATTGAGAAAGTAAGAAGAGATATAAGTAAATCAAACAATCAATCTTAGAAACCAAGCAAAAGAATACATGTGTGTCTAAAGTACACACATCTGAATACAAAGTTACTATTAGAAGGATACGTAAGGAATTTTAGTGGTAGTAGAGCAAGAGAGTTTTTCATTCTTTTCTAACTTTTAATTAGAACCCTAGAAAAAGTATTGGATTTTGTGTGGATAATTAAACATTTCGAATTACTAAAAGAACATTCTATAAGGTTATTCAGGAATGGCAAATATTTGTCTTAAAAGGATCAAGAAAGAAAATAGTTGTGAAAATATTAGACATGATTTTTACCAATAGAGATTCAATAGATAATAGGTAGAAATTAAAATATATTAGAATATTCAAGTGACAAACCTTTTAATTATTAAAAAAAAACAAAACTTAATATGTAATAATGCCAATACTTGAAGCTTATCAAAAGTAAAGCTTAACTTATATGGTATCTATATATATAATTTTTATTTTATTTTATTTTTATTTTTTTGAGAACATAATGGTGATTAGCTATTGGCAATATTAGATAGTTTCTATGTGAGAAACAATGCATTTATCTATACAAAATTAAGGAATATTTGACATGATTTAATTATCAACTTGTGTACTAAGTCCTTAAGATGTCTTATATATATAAAAAGTTTTATTATCTTAAAGTTATAATAATAATAGTATTATTTGTCAAAATATAGTATATTTTTCAATATAAGAGGTTTTTTAATAGACTTTGTTAATAAGTCAAGTTCTATTAGACTGTTTTTTTTAGAGATCAAACTTATCAAAGAATAAGAAAAGAACTAGAAGTTAAAGAATAGATTAATTAATCATAATTTAGATTTTACTATACTTTATTTTATTTTTTCAACATTTAAGTCTAACTAAAGTAAAAACAAGTAGAAGAAGCTTTGCTTACACTTGTCACTTAGAAAAAAAGAAGTCTCAAAGCAAGATAGCTTGTTAATTAAAAAACATATGTTTTGTAAGTGTTTAAAATATCCTTTATGATAGTTAAATAAAAGATCTTAGATCACATATTCCATAATTATATAACTTTCAGAGACTAAAGATAGGCAAAAAATATAAAATGATATATTTGATTAAATAAAGAATCCGTGAAATATAGGTTTTAGTATTGCCTACAAGTACAATGTTCACAGAATTGAGCCACAACTTTTTTATGTATACCTTATCAAAAATATCCAAAAGAATAATCTATAAAACAAAACTCTTAACATACCAAAAGAAAGACCAAGAATTCTTGTTGTATTTGTATCTTTTATCAATGCTTTAGAAACATCCTATTTATAAAAATAAATCAATATAGTAAAGTAAGATGGTTTTATAATATTACCAATTATTTATCTAAAACATAAAATATAGTTTGTATAGGATTATCTATATATATAATTTATTTTAACATAAAGATTGCAACATATTTAACACAAATTATTCAATCTATTGTGTCTTGAGATGATTGGTCATCACATGTTTTAACAAGTCACTTATATTTTTCTTTTGCGTGATTTTATTTATGTTTTGGTAAAAAATATATAGATTTAAATTTACTTTTTAGTTTATTATTTTATATTTATTATTTTAATAATAAAATTTAATTTATATAATAAAAATTCAAATTCAAATAATTTTTATAATATCAAAATAGAATCTTCTATGTTTGATGTTTGAATTGCATATTTTAAACTAAGTTTTGTTGTGTTTTCATTAACTGTTGTTAATATATATATTTTTCTCTTCACTCTAATTAACATATGATTATGAATATATATATATATATATATATATATGGGGTAAAATTAATGCCACAAAATGTTTTGCTACTGCCACCAAAACTCTCCATCCACCATATGCTATTTTTATTTAATATATTTCAAATTAATATATATATATATATATATATATAGAATGCCTTCTCAACCATTTAATTGAAACATAAATATAGTAATAAGAAAAAAATAAAAAAATATGTCAAGTGGTTGACAAGTTGTGGTTATAGCAAAAATTGTGATGACATTAATAGTACCATATATATGTATATATATTCTTTTTCTATTTTAATTGATTTATTTTGACAACATGAATTATTTCTAATTATCAATCTTTCATAGCGCATGTGGTGAAAAAAAAAAAAATGTTAGTAAGTGATTAGTATTTCTTTTTTATGTCGTAATCTGGAACACATGCTCAGTTAAACTAATATCAAATGTTGAGTACGTTTTGTCATGTTAAACATGCACAAAGAAAGAAAGAAAAAACAGAAAGAAAGAATGAACGACGAAACAGACGAACGGATGGATGCGTGGATGAATGAAACACCGGTTCCAATCAACTCGTGATTTTTCTCCCAAATATTGTCGTATCTCACTGGATCCGCTCTGCGTTCACGGGAACGGGCCTCATGGCCAACCCTCTGATGTTGTGAGCTCTGAGATAGAAGCACTTCATGGGTTAGGGTTTGTTGCTTTGCATGAATCTGTAGTTTCAGGGTTTGTTTTGAGAGCTGTAGAGATGGAGATGGCGTTGAGGCTGCGATCTGGATTTCCCTCCTGTAGCTCCTCCAAATGTGTACCTTCGAATCGCCGGCGTTTGGAGGTTTCCGGAGATCAGGGTTTACGGGAGTGGAGCTTTCAGGATGCAGGTGGGTTTGTGGTTTTAGGGAATGGGGGATTGAAAGCATCGGTGATGCAGAATGGGGATTTGCGGAGGACGTTGAAACATGTCCGGAGAGAAGTGGTGCGCTGTGCGATGCAAGGAGGCATTGAGAGTGAAGGTGGGGAAGGAGAAGGAGAAGGAGATGGCAAACCGAGTGAATTGCTAGCGACAAGCATCGAAGCTTTCGGGGAGGCGCTCTCGTCGGGGTTCCCGATATGGGTAGCAGCAGCCTGCGTTGCGGGGTTGGTGAAGCCCGCTGCGTTTACTTGGATCCAGGGGCAGGTACAAATCATAGGGCTCAGCATCACCATGCTAGGAATGGGCATGACCATGTCGCTGGATGATCTCAAGGGCGCCCTCGCAATGCCCAAGGAGCTTGTCGCGGGTGTGCTCCTCCAGTACACCGTGATGCCAACCGCAGGAGCGTTAGTAAGCAGGCTGCTCAATTTGCCAGCAAATTATGCCGCAGGCCTCATCTTGGTGTCATGCTGTCCTGGTGGCACCGCGAGCAATGTGGTCACGTACCTCGCGCGGGGCAATGTAGCTCTGTCTGTGCTCATGACGGCGGCCAGTACCTTTTTGGCGGTCATACTGACGCCCATGCTCACGTCGAAATTGGTTGGGCAGTATGTTTCCGTGGATGCGGCGTCCCTTTTCTCCTCAACGTTGCAAGTAGTCCTGTTGCCCGTGACAGTGGGTGTTTTATTAGCGCATTTCTTGCCAGGCCTGGTCCGTAGAGTTAGCCCCTTGGCTCCCTCTGTGGCTGTGGTGACCGTAGCTGCAATCTGCGCGGGAGCCATCTCCCACAGCGCATCTACTATTCGGCAGTCAGGTGGCCAGGTCCTTATTGCGGTGTTAGCTCTACATGTGGCTGGCTTCTTCTTCGGTTATGTCCTATCACGTGTTCTAGGATTTGAAGAATCTACATCCCGTACAGTGTCCATCGAAGTGGGCATGCAGAATTCTGTCCTCGGTGTCGTCCTTGCGAGTAAACACTTTGCGAGTCCGCTAACGGCAGTCCCGTGCGCTGTCTCGAGCGTATGTCATTCAATCTTGGGCAGTGCTCTTGCTAGGTTCTGGCGATCTCGTCGTGCGAACCACCAAACCACTGGCAACGCCACTTTATCCTAGAATACTGGTTTTCGAATTATTTCCATGTCGTAACTTCAGGCAAGTTTATGGCACCCTAGCGCTTGAGGATCGAAGGGAGTACTCAGTCCATTACATGTAAGGATTCTGAGAGCATCCCTACCTGCTATAACATTTTTTTTTTCTAGGAATTTGAGTTAATGTTTGTTCCCTCTTGAGTACCGGAGCATTGATAGCTGTGGTTGGGTGTGCGCAGGATGCTTTACAACCTTTGCTGTTCACTCAATGTGAATGATCAGCCGGCGAGGCAAGTTCTAATGCAAACCATCTATAACACAGAAAGAACACAGTGTGATTTGTCGTTGGAAAAAAAAAAAAAAAAAAAAAAAAAAAAAAAGAACTTTAAAGTTTTATGATTGTCTTACTGCGGCGATTTGGATCAGTGGATCATTTTTGGACTGTATATCTGGATTTGTTGCTGCACTGATCTACTCTATCATGAATTCCCACATACATTTTTGGGAGCTTATTGCTTATTTTTCAATCGCGTGCGGTTGATTTCATAGAGATCTTATAAAAGTCCTCAAGCTTACTTAATCCTTAAGCATTATCAGTTTAGTGCATTGACTGTGTTTAATCACCGTTCTTGGCTCGTTGAACTTGGGTTTGTGCATAGATTTCTTCAATATACTATAAAGCCCACGCAGTGTGCTCAAAAACGAAGGACAGCAATGTTCTGCGATATCTGGCAATTTTGAAACGCAGAGCGTTACGAAGGAAACTTGTAGCGCATCTTGATCGAAAGTCCCTTAATAAGCATCACTGAGGATTGAGTATATGAAGATAGTCATAATCATGGAGACATGAATAGCGTACACTGGAATGAAACCTCAAATGCGATGTTTCATACACTTGAGACAGAAAAATGTATGGAGACGCTCAACTGGAGAAGTGCAACCACCAATCTCTATTCAACACAGGTGCATAACCACTGACCGATACTTGTCTCCATTGCGTGGAGTTTGTACCCAGTGCAACTTGGAAAAGGGTTATCAGTGACAAAGATTGTAAAAGATTGTAAACCCTATTGCGAAAGATTGTAAATTCAATGCTCCTCAAATAGTTTCAATAACACATCTTGTTAGTCACGTCGGGGAAATTAGGTACGACGGTGGTGACTTTCAGCGTGAACTTAAACCATGCCTGCGAAGCATATGAATGAATGATGGTCCAAGCTCATATCCATCCATCTCAGTGCGACTTCTCCAGATGCTCAAACAGAAATTTTCTTTTCTTGCGCGACTTCTGGCTCTCCGGGACCGTGCCCAGCACCGACAATTGCCAGATGGTGGGACTCAGCAAAAATTCCCGGATCTTAGTGGGCACACGGGACAATGCTTTCGAGAACCGCTTCGACGCCGACAACGATTGCTGAACGGGGGCCTCTTGGATTATCTCACTACCTGATCTTAGGCGGCTGTAATACCAGTCCCAGGGGTTGGATCTCGCCGCGATCTCCAGATTCCTATCCACGTTCCCGTGCATGAGCTCGATCGCCCAGAAGCGCACATACACCACCATCAAGATCCCCACCACCGTGATTCCAAGTGAGGTCCTCCACGAGTCCAGAACCGCCCATGCACTCACGATGTAAGCGACGTAGAACGCCACCAAGCTCAACACCACAGGGACGGATCCCGAGAGGAAGATGGCGCCCCATTCGCCTGCCGTGCCATATACGGGGATGAACGCCGTCATGAGAACCACCGCCAAAACGGAGGCGTAGAAGGCGAAGGCGTTGAAGAAGAGGAAAACTTTGGGGAGTGAAATATATGACGCTACGGCGATGCCTTGCCTGCTCTCGTCGATGCCGCGGATAGGGCTTAGGCTCGCCAGGTAGGCCACGTTCGCGATCAGGGTTGCAACCACGCTGATTAGGCTAATGCCATGGATGTACACCTCCTCCTTGTTCACCGATTGATCCGATTCTTCCAATTCCGTCACCTGAGTCAAGGAAAACGGACTCAATAAACGTTGTAATCAATGGCCAAATCAACATCGCATAACGAGAGCCAAAGATTCTAAAAAAATTAGATTCTGACGCTTGGTGAAGGAGATGGTATTACCTGACTGCTCAAAATGAGTTCGTTTGTTAGCATTTGGAGCAGGAGCACGAAGCGCAGATTCCTCTTCTGGCAGGGTGTCCTCCAGACGAATCTCCCGACCACTTTTCCCGCAGTCCTCACATCGCAATGACGAAACTGCACATTGGATCCCACTTGCCAATTCAGCCGCAACTCCTCCAAGTTCGGGAACCGCACCTGCCCTGGCTGACCTCGCAGGTGAGTCTCCTCACTCACAATGTGTTGGTCCACCAAAAGGTTGAAATTCTTGTCTAGCTCCTCAGCACTGGCGAACGTAATCCGTGGCCACCCTCTAGCCTCGGGGTAGCAGACAAGCTTGTTACCTTCCTCCACGACTCGATAGATGTAGCTGACATTCTTGGCTACCACGTTGCTGTAGTAATAACGAACTGTGGGTGGGAGAGGAGGCTCCGCTGAAAGAGATGATAGCTCGTGAAGATTCAGTGAGACTTCGGTGGGCTTCACTGTGAGCTTGGGATACTGCGAACTTTCAGAGACCTCCATGAAATCAAATAAGGGCGTAATTCCGTGAGATTCTACCTCAAATTGCTGGGCTATTGTGAGGATTATCCCTCAAGATGTTGAAGGTTATGCGGCTCTTCTGTCTGTGTTTGAGCTTAACCACCCACTTAAAGACGAGTTCTAGTGCTGTAGCTTTTAGGCCAATTAGCTGGGAAAGAGCAGTATGAGCCGTGTGCAACACAAAGCTTGAGAAGCGCTGTGGGCAACCGCACACCATGGCTGGAAAGATCACGAAAGATGAGTTAGATTTGAGCAATGACCTTCAAGCGTCTTCTTCAAATCTTCCGGGGAGACAAGGACAAGTTAACTTGTGGAGCATGAAAAGTGCAGAACAAGCTAGATTGAAGACGTTTCGAACTCTTGAAGGATGAATTTGCGATTCTGGATGCCTATCCTAGTGCGGAGCCTCATGTGGCGAAACGATAGATTGTAGAAACATTTCGGTACAATTTCTTCTTTTCATGTACCCTAAACTGCGGCACTTACTCAAGATTGTCCAGAGTATAATATGTGAAGAAACCAGAAGGGGGCATCGACTGATTGTGACAGCTTTGGGATTCCCCTCTTTACAGCGCATGAGCTTGTTCCTTTTTTATGACGAAATCCACAATTGTTTGCTGCGTCCAGAATCCGGTTACTTAATGATCACTTCGATGTGGCTGTTGTCCTACACACCACTCTAACTCCATCACGGAATAGCTCATTACGTTCAGGGATCAATTCAGCATCTGTTCCATGGGTCCCAGTTTAATGAACCCTGAAGCCCAGGAGCCATGATGCTATGTTGTACGGGGTGCCTGCAGTCCCACTACCAGCGCGAAATCCTCCGAAAAAAGAATAAATAAAAAACTTAGGCGTTTGGTAGTCGATAACATGGTTCTCTAGTACTGCTTTCTCCTAATGCCGTCGCACTCTTTGGAGCCTTGGATCGAACCTTGTGGAATTCAGAGATCATCGACCTCCACGTCTGTAAATACCAATTGAAACCACCTGTACTAATCTCTACTTAAACTGGCTCTCGCAACTGTTCCGCTCTAGATCCTCGGAAACTATCTCCATATTTATAACACACAGGGAGACAAGAAATAGTGGCACACGTCAGAATTCCTTCATTTACATACATTTTAAATAAGTGCTTTAGATTTTCTTAAGCTTCTTTAATGTAAACAGTAGAAGGTGTCTGGACACCTAGAAATATTGCATATGCTGCCCCGAAGACGACAATGGCAAGTGTAACGCCATAAATAACGTATGAGCTAATCCCAGGGCTTATAATGCAAATATGTGATTCAGGAAAGTCTGGTGATCTATATATGTTAAGATTGCTCAAGGAGACAAGTGGTGACTCTCATTCACAGCATGTACCCCTCTTGGTTTTCATCAAAAAACTTAATGTTGTAATCAAAACCATGGTTCCCAATCAACAATGTGGGTAGAAATCTAAACTCAATATTTTTGTTGGCTACATGTCTCATTGTTTTCTTCAAAAATCATTATAAAAAATGAACCAAAACTAAGATTAACAACTACTTTGATTGAGATTAACATAGCAATTTGATATGAGATTAATTGAGCTATGAGATATATGGATTGTTCAACATGCAAGTTTTGAGGTTATATTTGGTTTAGATGTGTTGCGACCTGATCCATTGTTAAGGATTCAGTTATAATGTAATGAATTGTCTTCAAACTATTATGCATGAATGGATTGAGATCATTGTCAGCATATTATTTATAAAGATAATGAGAACAAATACTTGAAGAATTAGCAAGTGATGTTTTGGTTGTAGTTGCAAGCATATTCTTCTTCCTTTAAAAGTCTCTCACTTCCCTTTTGACCTCAATGGTGGGTTTTAGTCTAATGAAGTTTTTTACATGCTAGATGTTGGCATTCTCTGTTATGGTGTGTTAAAATGGAGTACATAAATCAATACAATCCTTAGAGAAAGAATACATGTTTTTCATATATATTTTTTTTTTGTTCAAGAAGAGACTTGCATGTTGAACATAATGATGATCTTCATTTGAATGAAATATATACTGCCCGCAACTTGATCATCTAGAAGTGCCTCTGAGCATTCAATGTGACTCAAGTCAATGGATTCACATGATCCACATAGTTTCTTTGTGATGGCTTTTCATATGAATGCGATGGCTTTTTTAATGTACTTTGCATACATCCTATGCTATGGATAGCAATCTAAAGTTGATATCTTTTGTTTTGCAGGTTGTGATTAAAGTAAAATATAATATTGATGCTTGCAATGTAAGAGATGAAGGGGATTTTGCTCCTAGTATTGCTAGGCAAGAGTTTTGTTCATGTCAATTTCAAATTTTTTCACCTTGATGTCTTTCTATATATCCTATTTGTTTTATATTTCTAGCTTGAAACATTTCAATATGGATCTTGTAGCACATAGTGAAGCAAAGTCCCAACATCAAGCTATGGCTTCATCTGGCATGCAGCTACATCTGGTGCTCACAAACTTTTGGAATATTAAGAGGTTCAGCACAAGTGATCCTGAAATATGTGATTTTGAAGTGTACCTATTTTCCTTAGCTAGATTCTCAAGAGTTTTTGGATATTCACCATGCCGTTGTAAGAACCCATGCTTCAATTATTTGATGAAATCAATTATCTTGTAAATTTTCTTGGAAGGTATTTCATATTTATATATATATATATATATATATATATATATATATATTACATTTCATGTTAGAAATTTTAAAAACCATAATAATAGTTTTTGAAATCCATTATTATAGTATAAATGTTTTACAAATTTATAAAAAACTAGTATTTCATTGTATATTTTACTTATTTTTTTTGAAAAAATTATAAAAAATATTTTTTGGTTTTTTATAAATTTGTAAAAAAATTTAATTTGAGGAATTCAATGTCAAGTTTTTTTTAATCACAAATGCATTATTTCTATTCACAATGCAGCAGTTATATTGAATATTTGTTTTTTCTAGTATCTAGAAGAAATAAGATTGCAGGTGAATAAAAAGCCAATAATTTTTATTGATATGCAATTACTACGCAGCTTTGAATTTAACTTTTGTGGTATTGTTGTCTACTATACTCACTTTAACACTGTTGGCTCCATGTAAAACACTGTAAGCTACTTACTACTTTCCATTGTACAACTATTCTTAAGACACATGAAGCATATTGAAGTAGAGACATCTGCTAGGAGAAGATGAAGCCCAAAAACCACTAGATGCAAAGCTACTACTTCTAGAGTCTCTACAACTCTTTAAGCCTCTTTCACAAGCTCTTTTATCACAAGGGTTGTGACCTACTCAAACATGTGTTTTCTTTCTCATCTATAATACAACAAGCATAATCTGAAAATTAAAAACTTGATAAAAGACTTGGGTGCCATGTCAAGAATAATTTGGCTGTATAGATATGGTGGGATTTGGTACATATATTTTGCTTCTGTTTGATTGTGCACTTCAGTTTTGTCAAGGATTGGGAATGTGCACATGATCTCACTACAAGTTTTATGAGTTTATAAATGGGTTTTTGGAGATTTGGCACTTGATCCAATGAGGTTGTTAGTATTGTGAGTTATTAAGGTTGGAGATTACTTGTTCGAGGTGAGTTGGCATTGGGGCTATGTTGACATAGAGGATGATATTGCCAAGCAGATGGTATGAACTAGAATAAAATAAGGCAAGGAAAAAGAATAGTGTGCAAGGAGGCCTTGGTTTAGAGATGAAACACAAGTAGTAGTTTAACAAGTTGTTATGTTTGTGCAAAAAAAACTTCATATGTAAATTATTCCACAATTCACTAAAAATTTATGGCAATCATGATATCAAGTTTGTAATTATTTTTTTAGCACAATAAATAGAAAGTTATATAAGAATTATTGATTTTGAATCATGTTGAATTTAAATTATTTTTTCTTTTTTCATTATATTTCCAACATAAGATTAGCTTAATTATTATAATATTCTATAATTAAAAAAATCTTTACAATTGTATTACAAGAAAAAAAATGCAATTTGAATAAATTTTATAAAATGAATTGATATTGATTTATTTTATTTTTATTTTATTTTAATTTTTAATTTCAAGATAAATTATTTTAATTACATTAGGTGATTGATAAAATCAAGTAAAATTTTTCAACTATAATAATATCAAAGGATACTATGTTATAAATAAAATCAAAATCAATACACATTTTTATAAAGAGCTATATATATATATATATATATATATATATATATTAAAATAGATGATAATTTATTCAATTTCTAGCTACCTATTATATTTTAAAAATTATTTTATATCATATATTAATTATCATAAAATCAACATTATAAATTTTCTTATTATAATATTAAAATAATTAGTACTGTGTTGATTAATTGATTTATTAGTGCATTGTCCATTTCTTAAGCTTGCATTTGCTACACCATGACTTTATTTCTCATTTACCTAAATATTTTAAATATAATTTGTCTATTTTCCCTTATTGTCTCTAATTACAACAACAATAACACCCAAGATAACATTATGACAAAAGTGGATATAAGTTTATTAATTAACATTTTTTTAGATCATCAATAATAAAATTTTATTTATTGACAATATGTGTACAAATAAATAAAGCAGATTGGATTGTTTTACATGTGCAAGGTGAAATGCTTAAGAAGCTGAGTTCTTAATATTGACAAAATGAACTTGCTGGAAATCCGTGACAACGACACGGGTTCAACTTGTTACCACACAAATAAGCTCAAATAATCCCTGAATAGCAGATGGAAAAAAACAGACATAATCCCCGGGCTTTCCTCAATTGCATCCAGGTACAGTATGAAACAAAGTGGCCTCGTTTTGCATTTTAAGCCCCAGTTGGATTTGCGAAGTTTTCCCAGGTGATAGCCAACCGAGATTCATCAATTTCTTCTGCGCCTTGCTTGCTGTGTGCAGAAGAGTCAATATGAATCCATCAGAGTCGCCAGCAGTACGTTACCTGTACAACAAGACTAGCGCGCAAATTAAGCGTTCTTGTATGCTGTGATCTAACTCTCAGATACATTCAACTGCAAATATTTGTACAAAAGCAGGTTCGGAGGCATTTCACGAGAACACTGTTTGCGGCTTCTCCTTGGAATTTGGAAGAAAGCATCCATATGTTAGTGACAACATGCTGGACAATCTGCACAGGATTTTGCTCATGAATTAGCTCCAAAAATCAATCAAAAACAAAACTGACGAAGAATTCAGGATAGTGGGAACGACTTAACGAGGATTTGTGCGAGCAAATGACAGCTGCTATCCCGCGGTGGGAGGAGCCAACTTTGACCATGGCAGAAGAGTGGCTTCACCAATACCTCGTGCTGCCAAAAACTGAACGCATAGTTGCTAAAGAGATTGCCTCACCAGCTCCAGATCACGACATGTTCAGGAAGTGGCAGCTGGACGGAATACCCACTTCAATAACATCGAGGAGTACACTTATGGAACCATAGCAAGATATTTCGGGCGGCAATCCATCGGAACCGACTCCGTGGACTTGCGGCTCCTTGCTCCCAGTCGGAAAGGAACCATCAAACGCATCTTTAGCAGCGAGATCACTGAGCTTCATTTCAACAGCGGCAACCTTTACACCGGATCGCGTTGGCTTCGAACCTGGTGGTGCCGCAGATCTTCCGCTTCTTCAATGCAGGTTCTTTCCACACTCCGGTGCAGCGATCAGTTCTGATGATGGCCCTGAATCCCCATTTTGTGATCCCGTGAGCAAGTAGAGTGCAATCTTCTTCTCTTCCCAACGGCCTGCAATTTCAAGCTTCGTGAGCTGCGACATGGCGTTCCTCATCACAACGATGAGATAGTAACTGGCCCTGAAGCCGATGCTTTTTTTCCATCCTGAAACACACACTTGATAATGATTTTCAACTGTATGATTTTTTCACGTATTTTTTTTTTTAACAGGAAGATCGATATTTTCATGAAAGAATTTCTACTTATTTGAAAATACCGAGTTTCTTCAAATTCTACTTATGATTCTGGAAGAGGTTGTGAGTAAGTAATAATGGTATCTATTTTTATAAACGTATCTCAATTTAAATAATCATATTTCAACTATTTTTATTATTACTGCTTGTTTTTTTGTATTGGATTTTAAAAATATTCATTATTATTAATGTGTGGAATTAAAAAAGAATAAAGAATATGGTACAGATAAAAGCATTCAAGTGCCATTATTTGTGTTAACACATTGTGTATAGAAGTGCATGCATTCTTATAAGTGCATATTACAGTTAAATAACTCAAATATCCCATTAACATCCAATATTTTATATTATTTTATATTATTTTTTTGTTTACAAAAATCTCAAAATCCAACTTCAAATTGTACACAATAAAGATAGCAATAATATTTGTAGTTATTTGTAAATAAGTTTCGAAATAAAATCAAAATAAACATCTAGCACGGATTATAATTAGAATCCTAACTTAGACATGATTTGTTTTATGGTTTTATCTTGCTTTCTTTCTCACCAATTTACACAAATAAAATTTTTATAATCAAATTACTTGTATTTATGAAATTCAAGATACAACAATGTGATAAATATTACCCTTGACTATGTAAATAAATAACATAAAGATGGATAAATACAAAAAAGAGAGTATTTAATACTTATAAAAGTTTGAATTTTGAATCAATTTTGAAACATTGTTATAATATCTGTATTGGAAAAGAAATTAATGAGTAAATTTTTTGAGTTGTAAAAATTCTTCTTTGAAACAAAAGAATCATGTACATTAAATTTAAAAAAAAAAAAAAAAAAAAAAAAAAATCTTTGAAGCAAGAGTAATGGTTGAAAATCAAAACAAGTGTTTGTTTCAAAATGTCATAATACAATCAAAAAGTATTCTTACAAAACTTTGTAACTTTACAGAAGAGAGATTATCTATGAGCTCTTAAAACAAGATTTGGGTAATAAAGCCAAATAAAAACAATAATAATAATAATAATAATTGTGTGCTATGCATTACATAATTGAGTAGATTTTACTTGGTGGTGGTGGTAATAATGATTGTCAAAGGTCCTTTGTTAAAAGAATTTAAGAAGTATACTATAGAATATTGAAGGATTTGGGATGGAAATGCAAGCCTCTAAACAAACGTTAGCATACCATGTGTAGAATGTGGATTGATATGGGGCCAATGAGGAATGTAACTCAATTAAGGAGAGACAAAATATTTCTTCAATGGAAACATCATTGAGAATGAGTTGTAAATTATTTTCAATCTCCCTGCACTGCTGGTTCTCCTACGTTCTTATTCTTTGTTGTTAGACATTGCATCAATTGCTAAAATCAAATCTAAGCAATAGCCATAATTTGGTAGTTCATAATAGCAAAATTAGTTGATTGAATTGGGCAGTTTTGAGGACCCAATTCTACAAGGCTTGCAACTTGCAATTTTTGTTTTAAAAAAACAAAACAAAACAAGCAACTTACAAACAAACAATTAATTGTCAAAATTTCTTATTTAAGAATACTATGGTTTTAAACAATTTGATAAGTTATAAGTTGGTATTTGTAGGAAATATACATTTTTCAAAGTGGTCAGTATTTATGAGATAATTTATACATTGAAAAAAAAATTGTTATACTTATTTTAATGAATTTAATTAACTTTCATACTAATAGCTTATATTTTAAAAATAAATTTTGGACAAACTCTAAAATCTAGAATTTAAGACAAAAATTAAATAAGATGTTATAATCATAATTTTTTTGATGTATTTAAAACTCCTCATTTATTATTTAATACAAGATTTTAAAGATTTAACAAGAAAAACCAGAAGTATATTTTTATTAATCTAAAATGATTAACAATAGATTTTCAATTTTTTAATATTTAAATATTGATAACCATCTTTTTTTATATTTTAAATAATTAATTTTAATTTTTTTAAATATAAATTCTAAAATTTCTTATATGATTTGTGAAATTTTGTGTTTTAAAATTTTAAGAGCTCTAATATCTACAAGGCAAAGATTGTATTTTGTATTTAAGAATAATTTATTTTTTATTCTTATTTTAATCCTTGTTTAATTTCAAATGTTCTTCTTTTGTAATATTTTTAAACTTTAGAATTGGAAAATCTCAAAGATATCTATTTTTTGATTTTTTTTCAGTCTTTGATTGACAAGGTTTTAAATTAGAAAGGTTCTTTTTCTAGAAACTTATTGTTTTTAACTTTTTTTGTTTCAATTGCAATGTTATTTGGTTCTATTTTATAATACTATATTGGCTATTAAATGTTGAAAAAATATAAAAGTAAGCTATTAATTTTCTATAAGATTTTAAATACATCAAAAAAATTATGATTATAACATCTTATTTAATTTTTGTCTTAAATTCTAGATTTTAGAGTTTGTCCAAAATTGATTATTAATTGATTTAATCTTTAAGTTTAAGATTTGATTAGAATTTGAGATCATGTCAAGAAAAAAAAAGTCAAGGAATGTAAATAACCAAATAAGTTGTTTTTCAAAGAGAGATTACAAAAAATAAAAATAAAAAAATATGTATATTTAAGAAGGAATTGGAATGGTTATTGCTAAAGACTAGAAAAATTAGAGACTCTTAAAACTAGACTTGAATCTAGAAAAGAGTTGTCAAGAATGACAAAGGCCTCACTCTTGCCTCTGTATATACTATCAAACTTGTAGGATACATGTCTAATTTGCAAGTTAAGTTTTTTATATGTATACTATATGTCCAACTTGTATTACAAGTGGCCAACATGTGCAATTTGTGGCCAACTTGTTTGCCAAGTTTTCTACCTACCAATCACCTAGAGACATGTATAAATTCAAATCCATATTTATAAAACTTTTAAAAAACTTCTTTAAAAGATATTATTGAATTTATCTATTTTTACTTACTTCTATCTATTCCTATTATCTAGGTAATTATTGTAGTAAATATGTATGTTCATAGCATAATAAGATTATTAAAATCTAAATAGAAATTAAGGTTTTAGAGTTAAAATATAAATAAGATTAAATTAAAATATTAAATTTTTTATGATTAATTTTTTTATGATTAATTTTTTTTAGATTTAAATAAATTAGATTTAAAATAAAATGAATCTTAGAATAAAAATTGATTAAAAGTAACTTGATATTAGTTAAGAAATATATATAAGAATTGGTTTTTATGATAGATTTTGTACAAAATTATGAAGTTAAAAAATATTGTAGAATCTTATGTTGCATGTATATGAAAGTATATTAGATTTTTAAGTTATTAAAGTATATTGAGTAGATACTAACTAGGTTGTTATTTAGCTAATTATTAATATAAATATGAATAATTTTTTATTTATAAAGAAATTTATATGATACAACTAAACTATATATATATATATATATATATATAATTATTTAAAATTAGCAGCTATATTATTAGAAAGTTTATTTTACAAAAATATATTTTATCTTGCATTAGTCTATATATTCTTTTTATTGTGATATGTGCTTATTATAAAAAATTAAATTGATTTTAGATGAAATTTAAAAATATCTATGAGTACACATAATTTTAAATCAGACCACTTTATTTAAAATAAATCAGAAGTAAGCTTTAATATTAGGTCCCTTAAAAGAAATTTGCATAGAAACAAGCAGCATTTGAAAAATCACTATTATGAAGCTTTAAATGGTTAATAATAATCTAGATGCTTTCAAAAGATATGTGTTAATAGAGCCTTTTTTTTTTTCTTTTATTTATTTTTAAATCCTTCTTCTTTAAAAGAGACACACCAAATTATCTAATTAAGACCAAATGATTGTGATAGGATATTATAATAAATTTTACAAAAATAAATAAACTTATAAATAAACAAAAGCAAGAAACAATGTAACCATTGTGGGACATTAAATAGACAACCTCAAAACAAAGTAAAAGAATCAAATACAAGAAAATATTCAAAGTTAAAAAATAATTATAATTATAATAATAATGTTAGGTAAACTGAACACAAAAGTCACTTATACAAGCTTAGTCATCCATACTATTGATGGATATTGGAGGAGGTTCCAAATTAATGAGTATAAAATATACTATGGTAGTTTTCCCCAAACCTTGCTCCACATCACTAAGTTTAGGGTTTGGGATACTCTATTTGGTTATTTTTTCTTTGAGCTTTGTAATAGTCTCACCTTATGACTGTCAAGATAAAATAAAATAAAAAATAAACGAAAATAAAGGATGGCCGATTCAGCACAAAATCATCTCAGATAGGGCACCTTGCCAGCTCAGCTCAGCTCCGTCTCAATGACATGCATGAGCTTCCAGCGGATGAATGAACAAAGAAAGGGATGAGGAGGAGGACATGGAGATGATATCTGTTTATCCAACCCCAAGAGCCGATAACGTGAGAGGTTATCCTGGTGTCCTTCGACAGATCGCAGATTGTTGCATTCACTCACTCACTCACTCACGCACTCAATTCCCCGACCTCGGCGTGATTTCAGATTGACCCAATTTGGGGGCTCTGGCAGCGATGGCCGCGAAACAGCTCGCAGTGCAGGTGCACAATGCGGGAGGGACGCTGCGGGTGCTCAGCACTAAGCCCATGCCCGGCACTCAATGGATCAAAACTCTCACTAGCGTTGGGTGCCGCGTTGAGGCGAGTCCCCCCCCTCATCCCAATTCGCTCTCCTTGCTCAGTTGGGGTGTTTAATTTTTGGGTGGATTCTGTGCACCAGGGTTTTTGGGATGCTAGAAAATGTTTTCTTCTGTCTGTCGCACCTGGGAAAATTCGGTATTTCAAATGTGGGGTCATGTTGATTTGGTTTTGGTTGTCTACTTCGTACATGGTTACGTAATTTAGCGAGAGTGATGAGCTGTGGTGTGAAAATATTGTAATGTTGGAATTGAGTGAGACTTTGAGTAGTAGCGAATGTAAGGGTTTAGGTACCGTAGTCACAGAGATTTTTAGTCCTTCGAACTTAATTTTATTTCTTTGCCAGGCTTCAGGAGTGATATTGCGAAATAGGTGGGGTTTAATGGGGGATATGTTAGCGCGATCGGTATGAGGAATTGCAGTACAGGAATTTGATTTTTAGTTGTCCATGCTCAGATTCTGATGACAGCTTCAGAGTGCTGAATGATCAATAGAAGCATCTGGGATTTCCGCTTTTCTTTTCAAAGACCGACTTGACTCTAGCCTCATGCTGCCCCACGCGTAACATCACCTTAAATATGAGTTCCTCACCTCAAAGGCTCTGAATATTGAACGGAATTCAATTTGAAGTTTCTGACGGGATGCATTCATTTGAACATATTCTGAGGAGTGTGAGAAAGCCGCGTATACAAACATATCTCTATATATATACACTCACACAAGTGTTCGAGATGTTGGATGGAAAATATTGTTGTCTCTCTGTCTTTCCGCTTTCAAGACATCTCCAGTTCAGGTTCTAACAGTGTACACTCAATGCAGGTGTGCACTGAGCCGAAGGTCATACTCAGCACGGATGACATCGTTTCTCTCATTGGGAACAAATGCGACGGTGTCATTGGACAGGTAGGCGCAGATCCTTGTGTCATATTGGTAATTCTTTGTCCTTGGTTGCAGTTCCTTCATGCGAACGGACACTACTTGGGGACGTCCTGGAAGTGATAATTTACCAATCCCATGTGCAGTTGACAGAGGATTGGGGAGATACCCTATTTGGGGCCTTGAAGAAAGCCGGCGGGCATGCGTACAGTAATATGGCAGTCGGTTATAACAACGTGGATGTGGATGCTGCTACTCGACATGGCATATCCGTTGGAAACACTCCCGTATGTCTTACGAATGAGACCTTCTTACCCTTTTCACACAATTCTGCAGGAATTTGTAAGATAGCAATTGAACTCGTGAAGCATCTGATGAGAGAGCTTGCTTGTTTTTAACTCGTTTCTCTAAGAACGATTTCAGTCTCCCTAATCTCCTCCGGCCATCTCGCCATTTGCTGGATCTCAAAATGGGAAATATAACTTCATTGATATTATATCACTGAGAGATTCATGTCCCTTGGAATTTCTTAGGGTGTACTGACGGAGACAACAGCGGAGCTGGCAGCAGCTCTGACGCTTGCGGCAGCCCGGCGGGTTGTGGAAGCTGATGACTTCATGCGTGCTGGCAAATACGAAGGCTGGCTTCCTACTTTGTATGTGATCGTTGCATCTTTGTGCTCTTAATTCATAAAATTCTGGAGTTGTATGCTAAAACCATGAATCTATGATTGAAAAGTGTGGAATAATGTTAATGGAAAATTTTCCGTTCTGTAGGTTTGTGGGAAATTTACTTAAGGGACAAACCGTTGGCATTATTGGTGCCGGAAGAATTGGGACAGCCTATGCACGCATGATGGTATGGTTCATCTATCAACCTTGAGAATTTAAGAACAATGCTGTCGCAACTGCAGCTTAGGTCCTGCCTTTGAGCCGCTCTCGGATTAAATTGCTATGTTTTTTCTGCCAGGTTGAAGGGTTCAAAATGAACGTAATCTATTACGACTTGTATCAGGCGACGAGACTGGAGAAGTTTGTTTCAGGTTTTTGCGTATGACTATTTTGCCGATTGTTTTTTCACTTATTAGGTGGTATCATCTTTTAAACATTTCAGAATCGAAAGGCAATAATTCTACAGTACATGATCGTGTTTTTGAGCCCTCTCCCTCGTTGCAGAAACATACCAATTCAGCTGAAAGCTCATGATTTTTGCAGCATATGGACAATTTCTCGAGTCCCAGGGCGAGACACCTGTACATTGGCGGAGAGCATCCTCTCCGGAAGACGTCTTAAAAGAAGCTGATGTGGTATGACTTCATCCGAAAATCCTACGCCACTTGTTCTTTAATCACATCGTGAGGAGTCACGTGCAAATAACAGCTCATCATCTGAACTCCTCTTCGACGGCCCCTTCTCAATTTACCACCGCTTAATTTGTTTTAGTCCCACAGCAGGTTTTCAAGGGACATTTTTCTAATTGGTCTTACAGAAAGCAGTGAGCTAATGAAGGTCCTGTTTCTGAATCGTCATAGCTAGGCTTGGAAACCTCTTATTTTTATAACAGAAATGCACTTGTTTAATATGTGTTCTTTTCGGTCTTAAAATTTAGGTAAGCTTGCACCCAGTTCTGGACAAGACGACTTATCACCTCATTAATAAAGAGAGGCTGGCTCTCATGAAGAAGGTACTGACAGTCTTACTCCATTTGCAGTGTTTGAGTTGTACACATTTAAAATCATTCTGCCGAAGTGTTGATCTACTTTCCAGTTTCTCGACAATTTGCGATGAGGTTTGATTTTGAGTGTCTCACACGTCATTGGTCGTCCGAAAGGCATAATGAAATTCTGAGAAATCCATACAACCATATGGATCTATGTTTGAAAGACTGATTTTAAATGGATCGTTTTTTATGCAATAGGACGCAGTCCTGGTGAATGCAAGCCGAGGACCTGTTGTTGATGAAACTGCTTTGGTGGAGCATCTCAAAGCCAATCCCATGTTTCGTGTTGGTCTAGATGTATTTGAGGTAAAACGTCTACCTCTTCAAAATCACAAAAATGTCGAACATGGACATTTAGGCGGTGTGTGTGTGTGTCTGTCTGTATGTGTGTATGTGTTTTTTGTATTTTTTGTATTTTTTTGATCTAAATAGGCAGTCTAGCACTGTGCTAGGGAGAATCCTGGGACATCTCGATTAAGTATTAGTAACTGCTGGATTCGTTTGCAGGATGAACCTTACATGAAGCCCGGCCTCGGTGAACTCTCTAACGCTGTGGTCGTTCCTCACATTGCCTCGGCTTCCAAGGTAACCTTGAATGTAGCCAAATCTTTTTTCAGCACCATTTTCTTATTGAGACTAAGTGCAACAGAAGGGAAGAAACTAATTGCAAAGCCTGTGGAAAACCATCAAGTTTACTAAATATGCGCATCTCATATGGATTCTGCGCAGTGGACGAGAGAAGGTATGGCGACACTCGCTGCCCAGAACGTTGCGGTGAGTAACCGACTCAGAAATCCTTATTATCTACTTGGAATTGTAGGAGAGTATGCTTAATTTAATAAAACGTGTATAATTTACTTTAAGATGATTATTACTACTGTGGGTCAGGGTTTTAACTGTCTCCTTTCATATTTATCTTGATGGTAATTTTCAAATCTATGTCAAAACACCGAAGAACTCAGGGGAGTTCATATTTTAGTCTCAGAAAACAAAAGGGATGACGAAAAGGTCAGTTGTCTATTAACTTGATCCAACTGATCTCTCATGTAACCTGATGACTGAATCACTCGTTTCTTTGTTTGCAGGCCAAGCTGAAAGGATGGCCTGTATGGTCTAGTCCTAACGTTGAACCCTTCCTTGATGAGATCAAGCCAGCGCCCAAGGCTGCTCCAAGTATTATCAATGCGAAAGCTCTTTGTTTGTCTTCAATGCCTTGAGGTTAGATTTTCTTCATAACCATGGAAGCTATGGAGACTTCCGTGTTTGTAAGAAACAAAAATTAAGGATATAAACTTCCCTTCTGTTCGTACGACTCGGCCAAAAAATTCAAAGATTGAAAAATCGAGGATTTTGAACTTCGAACTTCGCTTTGCAAGTGACTGCCTTAATTATGATGAAGTGCCTAACTGTTGTATTTCTGCCATAATATGTTAATGTTTCCAATGGCCTTTCAGTTGAAGATTATATATCTATAATATTAATACCTATAAGAAATTAAAAATCATACACCTTCTACCTCCGCTTTATTTGGATTCCTAGTATATTTTGGAATTGCTTCTAAAACTATATAAGCATATTCTAAGCTGTAACAAAATTTCTAGTTTTTAATGTCTCTTGTCACTAATCTTGTGTTTTTTAAGAAGTAATATATTCCATACAAATACAATCTAATTAAGATAACTATGCAATTTTGAAGTTTTAGGTAGATAATCTAATCTACAAATATTTTATAACAAATATATATATATAACAAAAAAAAAAAAAAAAAAAAAAAAAAGAACAACAAACCTTGTTTTTTAAAAGTTGTTTTTATAGGAACATCTCTTTCTTGATTCAATTATAAGAGTTGTATCAATTATAACTTTAATTTTTTTTAAATAAGAATATTTAGATAGAAAATATATTTGTAGGATAGAATTGTGAGATAATAAAGTAACTTTAAAAGCCATGTTGCCAAAGCAATGCATATATTAAATTCTAGTTTGGATTTTTTTTTTTTTTATTTTCTTATATAAGATCATATAGATTTTTAATGCTTTATTATATATATATATATATATATATATATATATATTGAATAAATAAAAAATTATTTATTAAATTCCATAATTTGCATATATGATTTAGAATTTTATCTAACAAAGCTTGTTGAACTTGGATTGCCAAAATAAGGTTATCCTTCAATCCTATTAAAGTAGCCATTTTATTTATTTACAATATCATTTATTTTCTTTATAAGGCCATTTTTATTATTAATTTAAATATTTATTAATTTAATTTTAAATGATTGAGTCACAAAAACATAACAAAAATATATAGATCAATTAAAAAGTCTATTGCATAGAGGCATTATTTTCAAAGTTCTCTCTTATTGTGATGTGGTTTTATGATTGTTATTATTCATTTAAGTAAAATTATTATTTAGCTCCAGACTAAGGTTTTTGCCTTTTGATTATAAAATGCTTAAGTTGGAGTATCATATAGCCTCTTCAAATCCATTAATCCTATTCTTCTTTGCTTGATTACAAATTATAAGCATCAACTTTGTAATATTTATTGAATATGACTCTTTACAATGCATTACAATGCAAGCACTTTTAGGATATTCAAATATCTTTGATCTACTTAGAATATTGGTATAGTTTTTATTTTTCACTAATTGCTATAATCTTTAATCTTTAATTTTTTTTAATATTATTTCTTGTTGTTAATATTTTTTTTAGTAACAAAAATTGTTTGATAAAGAAATGTTTCTAATCATTTTTATTGTTTTAGGTCATAGGATTTCTTTTTGCAAAGCCTTTGACTAGTATGTTTGCAAATTATTTCTACCTAAGAATGATTAATTTCTTCTTTATTACAATTGTTATTCAAGTTTCTTTTAAGAGGTTCTTTTTTCTTTCTACAATACAAATATTTTGCTAGAATATGGTTTCATCAAAGATTTTTTATTTTATTTTTATTGATTTTGTTTATTTAGTAACATATATATATATATATATATATATATATATATATATATATTACTTTATATTTTCAATAAGGGTATATACTAACTATCATAACATCCCTATATTTAAATGTTTTTGCTATATTTGTAGTTCCTTATTTGATTCTTTTTTATTGATTGGTATTAGCAATAATTTTTATTTATCTCAGATTTATTAATATGTATTTGTATATAGATTAATTTTTTTGAGAGAAGTTTAATCCAATATTGTTTTATAGATTATACTATGCTATTGATTTTATATGGTTATTTATCATATATTTATACTATAACTTTATTTAGTAGATTTTACTATTATCTAAACTACATCTTAATCTATTCCAAGAACATAGAAGAACATGAACTTCATATCTATTTTGTGTTACAAAAACTAAGAGATACGAGACTCTATACCAAGATAAAAAAGTATATATTTCATAATATTCAAGTTAGCTTCTTCTGATACATCATTTCAAATGATAGATTTATGATGGATCTTAAAAAAATTCAAACTATTATGGATTAAAAGATCTCAAAATAAATAAATTATGTCTAATATTTTTTAGGATTTACTAAGTACTATTGAATCTTCATTAAAGACTTCTTTTAAGTTGCAGCTCTACTTAAATGTTTGATTTGTAAAGACAAATTTCAATGGAATCAAGAAGCAGAAGCATTATTTGAAGCTTTAAAGAAAGTATTTGTTTTTGCACTAATCTTCTATCCTGTCAATTTTCTAAGCCATTTTTTATAGAAATAGACATATTAAGATTTGCTTTAGGAATTATATTATCACAAATGGGAACAAATGATAAACTTCATCTAATAGCTTTTTATTCTAAAAACCTTTTAACAATCAACATCAACTATAAGATCTACAATAAAGAATTTTTTGTAATTAAAGATTTATTTTAAGAATAGCTCCATTATTTAATATGCACTCTTAGTCCAGTTATCGTATATACAAATCACAAGAATCTTAAGTATTTTATTTCAATATGCATTTTGAATCATCACCAAACTTGCTAGAGCATATTACTAGCAAGATTAAAATTCAAGCTCATTTATCGACTAAAAAAATAACAAGGTTTATTAAATGTATTCTTTAGACAATCTTATTTTGTATTAAAAGATGAGCTTGAATTTTAATCTTGACATTAAATAAGCTTGAATTTTAATCTTAACATTATTGACAAAATTGAACAATAATGGACAATTCTCTTGAAGTTGGAGTATCTTCATCTTCAAACAATGAAATCAATAGTAACTATTGATTTAACTTTTATTAAGCAAGTTCAATCAAGTATGTCTTTTGATCCTCTTATTTGTAATATTAAGAAAAATCTTTTCAAGTCTTATGATACTTTTAAGTTTAAATTTTAAAAAAATCTATTATATTTCAAATGATGCTTATATGTTTTAGAAGGTGAAACTTGATTATGTATTTTTCAAGCTCATCTCAACTTTCTAGTAATAAGACATTTTGAATACAATAAGACTTTCGAACTAATATCTAAGAATTTTTGGTGGCTTCAAATGTAAAAGGTGATGAAAGATTTTGTACAATCTTGAGATATTTGTTTACGACCAAAAATTCCTTGTCATTGATCTTACAAACTTTTTTAGCCATTATCCATTCCAGAATAATCATGGTCTTTTGTTTTTATGGATTTTATCATGGATCTTTAAGTCTTAAATTCTTATGACTCTATATTTGTGATAGTAGATTGTTTTGGCAAGATGGCATATTTTGTACCATATATAAAATCTATCATAAATAAAAAAATAGTTAAGCTTTTCCTTCACAACATCTATTGCTATTATGAATTATTGAAGTAAGTAAGTAAAAGTAGAATAAATTACGTAATAAAAGGTATTACTTTAGATAAGTTGCTAATGATCAAAGGATTGACTCTTGATATATAGAAACGACATCCTATGGATATAAGACAAGATCAAGGATCAAGAGTCAAATTCAAGAGGATAAAGTATGAACTAGAAAATATCTAAAGACTAAATAAGAGTAATTAATGTTTGGCATAAGATATCCTTGTGGTTAATAAGATGCCAAAGAATCCATGGACTATATGATACCTTTGAAGTATGTTAGATGCCAAATAATCTTAGGACCTAGGATCATGTGTATAAAAGTCAAAGAGTGGAAGTTGTCTTATAGGACAGCAACCACAACCTATAAGTATTGGATGTTGGAAGTGAGGAATATCTTATTCCATATTCTCTTTGTGTGCAACCTTGCTAATGCTATGTGTTGTGACTTCAAAGTTCTATTTCTTTAATAGATTATGGGCCCACTCACCTTTAGTTGTGACTTTTGAAGTTCTTTGAAGTCTTTGTTTTTATGACGAGTAGATCTTATGGTTCTTGCTGATGTTAGGATTTGATATCTTCTAAATCTCTTTTTGCATCTAGTTATTGATGTAGTTATGCTCTTACTTGTTGTTCAATGCATTCATAGTCCTTGAGATTGTTATTCACTTTAGAATGTTGTTTTAGAATACTAATGGTATATTTCTTTGTTAACCTACCTCATTGATACACTAACATTGAACTTTCATGTGCTTAAGTATTTAATAGATCTTTTAATAGTCAAAAGAGATGTTATGAGATATTAGAGGTGACAAAAGAGTGGCAAAGCTTGCAAGAGAGGTTAAGATAGTGTATAAGACTTACGAAAAGTATTATAAATGAAGTTGAGAGTGATCAAAGAGTGAAATCACTAGTTTACTGACAAAGAGGGCATTTTGGGATTCTAAGGCAGCAATACCTTCTTGTTGACTTTTAGAACTCTATCTTCTTTTTTCTTGATTTTCTTCGATACACCCCTTTCTGTAGATATGACTTAAGTGAGGGCAGGTTCGGTAGTAATTGAGAAGTTTAGAAGTGACAACTTCTACCATTAGAAGAAAAAAATGAAGCTTTTATTGGCTTCATTGGACCTTTGGGATATTGTTGATGAAAGTGAAGAGCCTCCTAGTGATGATGCTCATATCAAGGTAAAGAAAGAGTACAAACGACGTGAAAGGAAGGCTTTTGGCATGATTGCAAACAATCATGATGATGCCAATTTTTCACATATAATTGCTTACAATAGACCAGCAGAAGCATAGAAGATTTTTTGTAACATCTATGAGAGTAAAAACCTTACTAATATTTTATGGATAAGGAAGAAGTTCTTAATGGTAAAGATGGAAGAAGAAAATGAATTCATGGCTCATGTCAACAAGATAAAAGTACTTGTAAACCAACTAGTAGTTGTTAACATGCCAATTGATAATAGAGAAATTATGTTGACATTGTTCATGAACCTTCTAGAATCCTATAACTATCTCATTGTGGCATTGGAGTCTAT